AACCGAAACCAAATGCAAATAGTTATTCAAGTTTATTCAATTACATTTTTTTTACATAATTTTCAAATTTAAGAAATATGAACATTGAAAAGGTTCAACAACATTTTTTAATCAATTACTCCAATCTTTCTCATGTTATCATTTTTCAGATTAAGCCAAATCATCAGATTTTTATACAAACATCAATAGAAGTACCATTTTTAATTTTCTATAAATAAAGCGCCGCCATATTCACTGCTTTTCTTTTCTTTTTTTTTTGAATATTTTTCATTACCTATTTTGTATGGAAAAGTATTGAAATTTGAACTCTTTCTTACATTTTTTATACATCACCTTAGGTCCAAAGTATGGTTTTTTAAAAACAATTTGGTTTTTCTAGTGAATTGAAAAAAACATCTTGGCATAGATATAACAGAGTACTGCTTGCAAAATATACATTTCTCTCTATTTGAAATTTTACATCATTTGAAATAAAACGATTAAATTTTTCCTTTCTGATTTGTTGAATAAAAACAATTCAAACTAATATATTTTTTATGATATTTATTAACCAATATATTTGGGAAATTAATACTATATAACTGTTAAATTTATTGAGATATTCGTATTTTTAAAATTACAATTGTTCAAATACTCTCACAATTATTTTTCAATGAACCCATAGAATCCGAAACCCTAAAAATACCTATTAGGTAAATAAAAATTATAGGAATGAAATTCATCTTATTTCAATAGTTTTTAAATATAAGGATTTCAGAAATTTTTCTGAGTATGGTAGATATTTGAATGAACATATAAAATTTTTTGAGTTAATAATTGTTATATACAGAAAAGTTTTAAACAACTCATTTTTTTTAAATGGAAAAAGAAATAGAATTCATTCCAGTTAAAAAAGAAGAATTAGATAAATTCACAAAAGATATGGCAGATTCATTTGCCGTAGCAACACAAGTATACAATCTACCTGAAGACAAGATTCCACCGAGACAAACAGTCTTTGATTCATTTGATGATCCACATGCAGAAATTTTTCATATTTTAGCAAATAAAAAAAAAGTTGGAGGTGTAATCTTGTTAATTGACAATGAAACTAATCATAACAAATTAGATCTCTTTTTTTTATATGCAGGGAATGATAACAAAGGTTTAGGAACTTTAGTTTGGAGAGAAATTGAATTAAAATATCCAAACACAAAAGTTTGGGAACTTTATACACCATATTTTGAAAAAAGGAATATTAATTTTTATGTTAATAAATGCGGTTTTCATATTGTTGAGTTTTTCAATGATCATCATAAAGAGCCAGATCATAAAGACTCACATCGCCAAGAACCAGAGGAACATCCAGTCAAATTTAATTATTTCAAGTTTCAAAAAATAATGAAGTAATTTAATTATTAATAGGGGATTATTGGAGTCATTTATAAATAAAAAAGATGTTTAATAATTTTTATGCAATTTGTTTTGTAAAACGTTTTAGACTGTTAATGGTAATTACTGTCAAGAATGAACAGCTGAAATCTATTAAGAGATCTGATTGTGGCCATATATGTTCTCAAAAACTTGAGCTAGAACTAAAAAAAAAGGAACTATGTAAAAATAGCCGTAAACAGCTGAAATCTATTAATAAGCCCACTTTTTCATCTATACACATAAAATTGAATTGTGTTAATAGTTTTTAATTGAATATGATTGATTAGTTAGATAAAAAACAGCTAAAATCTTATTTTTAAAGTTTTGTGAAGTGATGAATTTTTTCATTTCTATTTTTTCTGTCATATAAAAAATTAAATTTTCAAATAATGAATTGTTTTTAATGAAATCACCTAAAAGATATCGTGAATCACATTGATTCTGATTTACTGAAAATGCGAAATAGTGAATAATTTCATATAAGCCACACTGATCAAGGGGAAAAATTATATAATTCAGCCACCTGAATTTTTATTCATTATTTCAAGATAAATTTTATTAAGTTGATCAATAAAATTGTCCATTGTGTCATTTTGAACACTTCTCTTAAAGCAATTAATGACATCATTGAAGCTTTTATCTTCATTTAGTTTCAAATACAGTTTGAGTAATACTTTCAATGTGTAGATATTCTGCTCAGAATAGAAAACGTAGAAAGAGTCCAAATTAATTTTTGGCTTAAAATCTGGGCAATTCTCGCTCAGGTATTCCAAAGCCAAGAAATTATTCTTGCTAGTCAAAATATCAATCAATGGTATGCTTAGTGACATTTCATATTTCATGTCAAATTTAGGATGTTTCAAAAACAATTTAATTATTTTCAAATCGGACTGAATTCCACAAGCAACTTGAAAAGCTGTAAAACTTCCATGCAAAAGTGATGTGATATCAACATTAGGATTTTTCAATAGAGCTTCAACAGAATTTGAGTTTCTTTCATGAATAGCAATCACGAGAAATGATCTACCGTCGACATTTTCATAGTTAATCTCAGGATATTTCAAGAACTCAGTTGTGAAGAATCCCGAAAAATCGAAGAAAGTTTTGATGATTATATTGCGAATATTTCTTTTGACAAAAAGTGGATTTTTCCTCAGAAAAGGAAGCAAAATCGTCTCCAAAAAGATGAAATTAGAAGAGTAGAAAGTATAGTCAATTATCTCAACGACATCTTCATCATATTTAGGATCAATGTCACTTTTTAATATGTAATTAAAATCATAGTTTTCCAGTACATATTCGGTCAGTTCCAAGTTCCACGATCCAAGAGCAGTGTAGAGTGCCTTCTCGAGAAAGTCTTCTTTCATTTTGGACTCAATGATGTGAATTATTTCATAATTTCGTTGACAAAATGAGCTTCCGATCACTTTTCCTTTCATTTCAACATCGTTCATTATTAAATACTTGAAAATGTTAATCGAATTGAAAAGTATGACATACTCAATCAAGGGAACTTCCCCAAATTTCAATGCATGCGATTCAATAAGTGATTCACAAATCATTGAATTGACAGATAAATTTGAATTTGACAAAATTTTTTGAAAGGAATCAATGTCATCGGTTTTGATCGCAAGACGAAGAGGATCATTTTCTAAATCACGATAGGAAGGATCGCGGTAGTCATTCGACTCCCGAAGGAATGTGAAGTACTTCTTTCTTTTTTCTTTGAATTCGGTGAGATATTCGTCTGAATATTGATTTTGGAGATGATTTTTAACTTGCTTATCATAATATTCTGGACATTTTTCTTTTATTTCTGGTAGAAAATACTCAGTGGTCGATGGATCTAATAATTGAATGATCGTATCTATAGCGATCAGCCCTTCTTCATACATCCATAGCTTTAAACATAGGATTCCACCAAAAATGTTCCAAAAAAATGATGATTGGTCTTGCAAATGCGTTTTAATTGGTTCCATAATTTTTTCAAATAATTTGATACTATCTCCTTTCTTTGTTATACGATCATTTCTGGCTATATATGAAAAAAATTGGCAGATCTTCATTAAATCTTCTTTCTGATTTAAGAAACTTGGAGGAATGAGATTAATTATTTCATTGATTTTATCATCACTAGCATTCGGTTCTAAATCACATAGTTTGCCTTGTATTTCAGTATATATTTTAATTTTGGCTGAATCTTTTAGAATATTATCCATGTAAAAAAGAAATACTAGAAATTTGATTTAAACTTTTTGTTTACTTTTTTGTCTTAAAAATTTTTTTAAAAAAAATTAATATTAATTTGTTAGGTTGCATTATAAAATTAATTAAAGAAAATATTATTTGAGCTTGTCAGAACCTAGGAAACTAAATACGTTATTTCCGTTAAAATATAAAATCGCATTTTTTAATTGATAAAAATAAATTCAAATGACGGCATTCATATGATATAATTTTTATGGTGTTTAAAATTTGTTGAAAATAGTAAACTTCATATTTGTTGGCTGCATTTGTAAAAAAATTAAAATTGGTAATTGAAAAGTTTACATTAAAATTCAAAACTTATCGTTTTTTTTACTCAGAAAATAAAATGAAGCTGTAGAAAAAAATTTCTCTGATTTTCTTGTCATAGTACTTCTCTCAGTTAAAATATGATGCCTTAAAATTATATATAAATAAAAAAATTTAAATTTCCAGCGTAACGTTTTTTTATATTTTAGTTTTTATTTTTTTCTATTTTCTTATCAAAATTTCCTCTTTATTCCTAATGGTGCAAAATGGTATTTATATCGACCTTAACAGACCTTTTGTCAATTGTAATAATAATCTATAATAAATACCAATTTATAAATTATTCAAGATAAGAGCTAATCTACTCTCTCGATTCCGCAAATAATTCTTGCATTCGCAGTTGCATCAAAATGGGATAATGGCCTCGTTGACCATAATTATTTTTATTTTTAGAAATAATTTCGTTTTATGTCCAATAAATTCGTATATCTACAAATTTAAGAATAATAAATAAGAATTTTTGCTTAGAAAAATCAAAAAGAACGTACATTTATAAAATATTAATTGATAATTGATTAATTGATCAATTAAAATGCTTTTATTTTTTTAATATTACTTTAACCAAGCTATGCCCTCTTTATAATTCCTACTAAAAAATTATAATCAAAATCTTTTTATGATATATTTAAATATTTTTTTGTTTTCAAAACCTTAAATTTCATAATCACTGAGTCTGCTAGCTGTTTTTTGCATGCAGATTATCCCGTGGATGAAATAAATCTTCTTGCCTTTTGTTTTTGGAAATAAACCATTCAATTATTTGTATTAATTAATACAATTTCAGATGAAAAATAAAACATTTATATCTTAAAACGTTACGCCGAATATTTTTATTTTATTTTATTTATAATAACAAAATATATGATAAAACAATATATCATGCTTTTATTAATTTTTAATCATATTCATGGGAGTTTCCTAGGTTCTAGCTTGTCTCTATATAGTTTCAAGTTTTTCGATTTTTTGTTTAAAATAATAACAATATTCACTATTTTTTTTAAGAAAAAAAAAATTGCCTACGAGCGGAGTCGGACCGCCGACCTTTCGCTTACAAGGCGAACGCAATAACCACTATGCTACGCAGGCTTTCCAACTTTTCAAATGTTGAGTAACATTTACGTTATCTTTTTTATCATACATACTTTTTAAAGAAAATCTTTTCAAAAGACGTTAAAAATTTTTTTTATTTTTGCTTTTTTTATAATGAGTAAATGATATTTGAATGAATTAAACAATAAAAAATGATTTATATGATATTTAGAATTAAATTTTCATAATATGTTGAGTTACCAGTTTCCGATGAATTTTGAAAATATTCAAACGCTTTAGAATATTCTTGCTCAGTATCATATTCATATTCATAGTAATAAACACCGGCTGATTTTCCTTGTTCTGTTGACTTTTCGAAGTAGGATTTGGCTTTATTGAAATCTGGCTCAACACCATTTTTTTGAAGCGACACGCTAAATGAATTGTGAAGAAATGAATTCATCAAATTATACAGACGCCATAAAATTCATTTAGTATTTAAAAAAGAAAAAACTGAAATTAAAGTTTTATCTAGAACCATTGAAAAAAATCTGATCTTCTGAATAATGCTAGATAAGATAAATGTTTCAGAATCCTGAAAGAGTGAAAAAAAAAAAAAATAAAAATAAAAAAGTTAAGTGATCACTCAATTGAAAATTTTGTCGTTAAATTTGTGAAAAAAGCTTTTTGGATAGGGGGGTCAACCGCCGAAAATGTGTCAAAAAAAATATTTTTTAAAGATAATTATAAATAAATGATGGAAATATATTCCTTACTTTATATAGTTTATTTTAAAATATTTATTATTAAATTTCATCTATAGGTCCACAAAAGGCAACAACTTTTCGAAAATTAAAAAAAAAAAAAAAAAAAAATTAACCATAATTCACCATTTTGCAAAAAAGTGGCTTATACGATTTTTTTGAATCAATTTGATTAATATTTTGAGTTTTATTCAAGAAAGTTATTATGAAAATATTTATTTGCTTAGGTTATCAAGTTAAAATTAATTTTTGAGAAAATCCGCAAAAACTTAAAATATTACTCAATTTAATAATAAATATTACTGACAATCATTATCGTGGGCCTGATTTTTTCACGAAAATAGAAAAAGTACTAAATCTTGTTAGAGAAAGTATCACACAATACTATTCAAATTTTGATATATTCAATATTTTCAAAAGCAATAAAAGAATTCTTTTATATTTTATTAATGAGAAAATAATAACTATTGATAAAATAATATGTAACATTATTATTAAAGGCAAATATTTAAAGTACAAATATCCTCAATATTTTATCAAAGAAATCGCTCCTTTTGTAAAAGAAAATAAACAATTAATTGATGAAATTCCTAAAGAAATTCCAGAATATTTTGAAAATAATAGAAAATTTGGAACAAATGAAGACTATATTTGTAGATTAATTCAAGCCGATTTAATTGATGATTTCATATCATATGCTAATAGAAGCAATATATCTCTTGGTTCAAAAATTAATCAATCAATTTATGAAACAAATTCATTTTTACTTGAAAATAATCCAAGCTTGATTGAATATGCATTATTTTATGGATCAATTCAAATTTTCAATTATTTAAGATTAAATCATGTTCAATTAAATGAAAATTTATGGTTATATGCAATTCATGGTAAAAATCCTGATATAATCCATCTACTTGAAGAATATCAAATTATATCAGATAATTAATCATATAAAGAAATCATAAAAGAGTCAATTAAATGCCATCATAATGATATATCAAATTATATAATATCGAATTATTTCAATTATGATAATTCTTTTTCGAAGTATGGCATTAAATATCATAATTATGCATTTATAAAAGAAACATATATTAATTCATATTGTTTATATGAATTATGTAAATATGATTATGCTATTCTTGTTAACATTCTTATGCAAAATGATGGTATTGATGTTAATAGAGTTGGAATTTTATTATTATTTAATCATGTTTATTTTTATTTTTACCAAGTTCAATTTTATAATGTTTTATGCAATTTCTAATGAAATAATTCAATTTGATTTCAAAAACTAGTTATTTTAAATGGAATTTTAATTGAATTTATTTTTTTCATGAAGTTTTTCAATTAATTATTTTGAATGGTATTCAAATTTGAATTGTTCAATAAAATTTCTTATTTATTTTGTTGAATGAAATAATGCCTTTAATCGCAGCAGTTGAAAAAGGGAATATTGATATCGTAAAAATATTACTGAAATGCAAAGATATTTGTGTCAATTATGGATATTATAGCATTTTTACATTTGATTTTTATTTCATTTATAATGATATATTTTAATTCAGTTTCTAATTTACTTTTTAAATGGGATTTAAATTTGATTTTTTTAATCTTATTTTAATTAAAATATTTAGATTTTATTTTAATCTCTATGATTTAATGAAATTTTTAATTCAATATTTAAATTCAATTTTTTTGAATTATTTTAATTGCATTTCAATTTTATCTGATAATAAAATTATAAATATATTTTATAAAACAGCTTTAAATATTGCTGTAGAAAATCAATTTGTTGATATAGTTAAACTTTTATTAGCAAATGATAAAATTGATGTTAATCTTCCAAATATTTAAAGTATTCCATTGTTTAATATCATTTCTAAATCATGCATTTTAATATAAATCAAATTTAATACTTATTGATTTAAATAATATTCTTAAATTGAATTTTTTCATGGAATTTTAATTATTAATGATTAATGAAATCGTATAAATTTTTCTTTTTAAGACTGCATTAAATATTGCTACTGAAAATGAAAATATTGATATAATTAAGCTTTTATTGGAAAATGACAATATTGATGTAAATTTTAAGTCAGTTTTATTTTGTAAAGTATTAAATAGCGTTCAAGATCATAAATTTTCATTATATTCGAAATCAAAAATTTCAATATAATATCAATTTCATTTTTATTAAAGTTTAAATTCAATCATTTTATAATATTTAAAAGAGCTTTTTTTTATAGGATTCCAAAAAATCAAATTTAATACCATTGAAAATTAAATATTTCAATTCAATTTGAAATCAAATATTTAAATATAATTTCTTATTTATTGTTGAATGAAATTTTTTATAATTTTATGAAACATCATTACATATTGCCATTGAAAAAGAAAATCTTGAAATAATTAAACTTCTACTTAATGACAAAAGAATTGATCTCAATATTACATGCGTTTTGTATTAAATGTTAAAATAAAATTTTTATGCCATTTTTAATACCATTTGAAAATATAAAATTTATAGAGGAATTAATATGTTTTTGCCTTAATTATATTCAATATAAAATATTTTAATATCAAAACACCGATTGATATTGCATATGAAACTAATAATCCAGAAATAATTTATTTCCTCTCAAATATATATGGTCTTGACATTGACAAAGAAAGAATAATTTTCATATATAATTGTACCAAGTTTTTATTTTCATTTTAATGATTTTTTTTCATTTATTTATAAGAACCTTGTGAGGATTGCCTTCTCCAAACAATAATTTAATAAACTAAATCATTATTCAAAAATTATTTTTATGTTAAAATTAGACTCTTTTATTTTTCGGCTTGTATTAAAACTTAAAAAAAAAAATTATTTTTAATAAATATTTTCAGCATTTGTTAAGGTACAAATCTAGTACGTTATAAATTGAGAGAAAGAACGTTATATATTTGAGACCCTTACCCTATTGAAAAAGTTTTATTTTGAATGAGTGTCAGATTTGAAATTCTGAACTTTATTTTTTTTTATAATTTTTTTATGATAAAAATATTTTTTTTTATATAACATGTCGTTTAGTTTAATAAAGTGTCAAAAAATTTTGCGGTTTCTAAACGTACTAGATTTGTACCTTAAAAGCAGTATTACTTGTAACAATAAAATCTTTGTGATAAGTTGTTTAATTATTTCCTATTTTTTAAAACGGAAGACAAAAATTTGTCAGATTCATTTTGGTTTGAACGGATAGATGCTGTTGCAGACAGTTTTAAGAGAGGTTTTTTCCAGTTTTTAGGAAGGCGATATTCTGGATGCGAAAAAGCTTCTTTCCACACAAAATTTTTGAAATAGAATGCGCAATTATGAGCAGATGACTTGTTAGGATAAATTTCATAGTCATCGGGAACATCCGAACCAGTATCTCTTTCAACTCTTCTTCTCAAAGCCTCATTGTATTCATTTTCATTGAATTCAATATCAATCAAACAATCGACACAATCCTGAACTTCTTGTGAATAGAAAGGAATAAAACCTTCAAGAATGACTATTTCGCATTGATCCATATTTTGCAGGTCAGAAACAAGTTGGTCCCAGTCGATTGTTTCTGGTAACTCGTAGTTGATACCAGTGACATTTTGTAAATTGAAATGTGGCAAACAGCTATAATCGTTATGAACATAATAATCTAAATGAATGATATTGTAACCGTATTTTTTCTGAAGATATTTGGCCACCGTTGTTTTACCTGAAGTTGAAATTCCAGAAATGCAACAAATAAACGGTTTTAGAATATGTGAAACAAATTTATCTGATTCAGCACAAATTTCTTTCAGTGGTAGTGAACCAGCAAGTCTTAAAAGAGGCTTGTTCCAGTTTGGTGGTAATCGATATTCAGGATGTCGAAATGCTTCTGGCCAAACAAAGTGCTTAAAATAAAAGGCACAGTAATTCGCTGATGATTTTTCGGGGTATTTTTCATAATCGGTAGGTACTTCTGAATTTGTATCTCGTAAAACTCGTCTTCGAAGACCTTCTTCAAAGTCATTTTCATTGAATTCGATATCTATCAAAAAACTAATAAATTGTTCAATTTGCGGTGAAGCAAATGGGATGAAAGCATCAAGGATATATTTTTCATCTGGATCTGTATTTTCTAATTTACTAATGAGTTTATCCCAATCAATTGTTTCAGGTAATTCATAATTTATTCCTATAACATTTTGAATATTAAATGCTGGTAATAGATGATAATCTTCTAGTACATAGTTATCTAAATGTATTATTTGAAAGCCATA